ACCTGAGCAGGGGCTGCACGGTTCTCTTGGAGATGAAGTGTTTTCCCCAACATACAGCTTGAACTTCCAAACACACAGCCTGGGGCTACTGCCCCTTGCTTTTGCCCTCCATGGAGCACAAGGTTCAGACACATCAAGCCCTGCAAGCTGTGACACGCAAGTCTTGGTTTTGCCTCCTCGTACGCAGGCGCTGAAGGAAGAGATCTGTTACTGGGGCTGACGAACAGCACCGGGCTGGCCCCGATCTGGCCAGCAGAAGGATTTTCCCCACAGAACTGCCTTTGATTTGGGAGAGTGCAGAACAAAGAGGGCTCTGTTGGCCAGATCGGGAGGGCTGTGGGCAGCAGCTAAGCTGGGGTCAACACCATTTCACCATCCTGCTGGCAGGCGTTTGAGGTACAAGAGCTGGGGCGCCTGGGGACCACCGCTCCCCGTGCCATCACCACACAGCCATCAGCCTTGGAGGTGTTTGCTCTACATCGCTGCCTCTGCTTGACCAAAGCCCAACGGGAACCTGAGGCTGGGGACTGTGAGGCCATGAGCACCCTGCAGTTTGAAGGGGATGGAGATGGTCCACAAAGGCAGAAAGCCTTCTTTCTCCTAGAGGCAGTGTCTTTTTCCCAAGGGAGGAAAGAAGGAAGGACAGGATTTCCCCCATGCTGGCATCCCCATCTTTGCTCAGTCCCTTTTGGAACAGGCGAAAAGCTCTTGAAAACGGGTGACATTGCCATATGGAGTCTCACCATCCACCCTCCTGGGATGCTCCGAGACACACTGCTGACACATGTGCACACATAGACTAGACAACATGGGCAACACAGACAGCTTTTTATTCCCAAGGGACACTGCGTCCAAAGGGCTGGACGAAGGTTCTGCATGAAGCCCGCTGTACCGTCAAGGTAACTCAGCCTCTCCTCTCACTTGTAGCTACTTGCTGTCTAGGTCCCCAGGAGCAAGGGCCAGAGCTGGAGTTGCATAGGAGCTGTTGTTCCTATGCTGGAGGGACAGGGCTTCCTCTGTGTTTACTCTCATCACCTGCAGAGCTGTATCCCTTATAAATAAAAAGCCAAGGGTATGGACACACAGAACACGCACAGAGACAGAAACATGCTGAGGCAGCAACAGCAGAGCACGAGACAAGAGCTGAAAGCCTGGCACAGACTCACCTGGGCTCCGCAGGATAGTCCAGCGCTTCAGGACTTAGATGCAGGAAGAAAGGGGAGCATGCGATAAGCGCAGGACAGCGGAGGAGACCCTTCCCTCCCTCCCCGCTCACGGACAGGGATCAGCCCTGCTCAACAGCGACAGCTCCTCACCCTACACAATGCCCAGGCTGAGAAATCCGCCCAGCGTTAGCGGGAAACCTCAGCCTCTGTCCTTAGGGCTGAGTTTCCTCAAGCCAGTGAGACAAGTTTGCAAGTTGTTGCTTAGCCAAGGCGAGCACAACAACGCCAGAACGAATACAGCTCTGTCCCAGCGGTGCAGGGACTCTGCAACGCTCTCCTGGGTCAGGACTATCAATGTTCCTGCTCATCACCCGCGCTGCCCTGCTGGGACGTGCATCCCAGGACAGGACAGAGGGTGGCACTGCTGGGGGAAGGGAGCTTGTGGTCCACGGCTCTGCAGAAGGACCCTTTCCTGGGCAGACCTACGGACAGGTCTCAGGCTGGTTCTTTGGGACACTGCAAAACGGGCTCCCACCTAGGCTGAGCTGACCTGGCACGTAAAGCCTCTGAGTCAGCCCTGGGGCACTTGGGCAGCAGGGCGTGCGTGGAGAAGGGGAAACCCAGGACTACAGCTGTCCCGCTGGCACTGCCTGCAAGCGTTAGGGGTACGGGCCTGGCATTACAATCAGCTCTAACTAGATGCGTATATAAAAATGTACATTCAAAACCAAATAATAAATAAAAATGTACGGGCATGCCATGGCCAGCAGAGCCCAGAGAAGCAGTGGGAGTGTTAGTCCTGCCCAAGGCACACCCCGGTGTCTGCCTGGAGGCAGAAGAAACTACTTTTTATGGGCAGCCCAATGGGTCCTTCAGCCCTGGCCGGGCTAGTGAGTGCTGCTGCCAAATCCCAGCAGAGGGATCTGGGGAGAAGTGCTAAGCTCCCTTGCAGGATGGGGCATGCACAGCCAAAATAGGCTGGCTGAGGCAGGGAGGAGGCTGGGAATGGTGACCTTCCATTTGCGGAGCACTGGGAGAGGCAGCAGACGAAAGTAGCAGCTTTCTGCTCATCCGGAGGGATGTGGCTCGTGTCCGTGCAGAGAGGGACAGCCAGGCACTGTGCCCGGGCACTACGTGCCTCTCGTTGCCGTAGGGCACTGTCTAGCTTAAGAGGATGCTTGGCTCCTAGAAAGCCCTTTCCAAAACCCCAGAGCAACCCAGAGCACCTCCCAAACTGCTGTGAACGTGCAGCTGATGGGCTCTGTGGCTCCCCAGGTGCTGACATGCACGCATGCATGCAACTCAGCCTCCCGAGCCTCTGTCTGACCCCAGCTTGCAGAAAATGAGGTGAAATGGGGAGATGACAGGCAGGTATCACTCTAACTCTCCCCCAGGCAGTGGGGAATACAGCTGCATGAACCAGTGCTGCTCTTCCACTCCTGCCACCCAGCAGGACAGAGACAACAAACCAACAGCTGCCAAGCCTGCTCTGGGGAAACAGCCCTTCTCCCCCTCTGCCTGCCCAGACCCTTCTTCTGCCCCCCTGGCCACCCTGCATGTTGTGAGGGCTTGCCCAGCCCATGCACCCCTGACTGGGAACATCCTCCTACCACCCAGCCCGGCCTCCTTGCTACGGCAGCAATGGAAAAACCAGGGCAGGATTAGCACCCCTTACTTCCATTGCCAATGCCTTTGCTGCTGATGGAAGAGGTAAGTCACAGGAACGTTCTTCCTCTATGCTCATCTGCTTAAACTAAATCGCAGCACGCTGCTGGGACGACGTCTGACTGCAGCAGGACCAGGCAGCTCCTGGCTCCTGCTACGTCTTGGGTGCATTTGGGCCCCCGTGCAGCTGCCGGAGCTGCGGTCAGCGCCTGTGTCCCCCTCACCCTGAAATGGGAACGCCTGCCCGTGGCAGACCCCTGGGAGATTGCCCGTATTCCTCCTCCCACACCTGCCCTGCTCCCCTGCGGGTGGGCTGGCGGTCAGGGTGGCAATGGGAGACGTGGTGGAGGGCAGATGGCTGCAGGGAGGACTGTACTTACGCGGGGATCTCATTGGTCAGGTGGCTTGAAAACAAAGAAACAAGGACATTGAGGAGAGACGGACAGACAGAGACCGACAAACAACAGCTCAACACAGACACCCTCCCCAGGCAGGGCTAAGGGCAGCGGGGAATCTGAGGCTGTAAGAGGCAGACGGACGGAGCCTAATCCTGTCCCAGTGCCATGGAGCTGGGAATTACCCACAGGGGTGCAGGAGCGTGGTGCTGAGGAAGGGTACTGAGACAAACTGCAGTGGACCAAGAGTCTCCTGTAGGAGAGGCACCCAGCCCGGAGGCTGAAGAGGACCTGTCAGCCGCTGAGTACCAGGCTCTGCTTATCTTGAGAGAGCAGCCCCAGGGACCAGTATCACCACAGAGACCACAGGGTCCAAACACGTACCCCTAGCCCATGGGGACAGGGTTGAGCAGACGCTGGAGAAGGCTAGCCAGGTCCCTCAGTGGCAATGGCCCATCCCTGCTGGCAGAACTGGCCCTTGCTGCACAAACAGCCAGGGAGACCAAGGAGCTGGCAACGGGCGCGAGTTAAACCACAGGCAGAGCTCCCTCTCCCCTCAGCACGGCTCACCCAGCCCACAACCCATCCCCGAGCACGTGGGCAGGAGCAGGGCACAGGCCACGTCAACCGTCTTCACGGGGTGCACCCAGCCAGCTCCATCCCGCTCCCAAACCAGACTACGCTAACGCGGAAGGTGGCCCACACGCTGCAGAATGAGAGCATCCAGAGCTGAAGTTGGCCGGGCACTGCTGTCGTGGGGAAAGCTCTCTGTCAACAAGGCAGCCTTAGAGGTAAGGGCTGGAAGCAAGTGCTTGCGGCCCCAGTTTGGCTTGCCCCTCTTTGAGCACCGCACTTGGACTTCTTCAGCCCTAGCTCTTCCTCCTGCTAACAGCCCTAACTCCTTGGTTTGACTTTGGTTCAGCTCGGCAGCCAAGTTACCTCTTTGTCACGGCATTGTGGTACTCCATATATGTCCTACCATCAAAAGCAATGGCCTCTGCATCTCCAGCAGCCTTCTCAATGATCACTGGAGGTGGGAAAAAGAAGAGCTGTCAGGCAACGTAGCATGGTCTGTCCGTCTTTGGAGACTAGGAAAATCCCCCTTTACACCGAGCATTCGTAACAGGACGAAGGCATGCACAAACCTGCTGTCCCTTGGGGCATGTCAGCACTGTGGCACTCTAAGCAAGCCCCTGGAAAAGTTTACTGTGGCTTCAGAGCCTGTGAGTTTGGACCTCCTCCCTGTTTTGCAGCCAAGTGTCATGAAACCTGCAGCCTTTTTGGTTTCCTGGCTGAAGCTGGGGAGGAACCTGGGCTCAGGGATGGCCCAAGTGATACTCTCAGGAGGCAGCAGGAGAGAAACGCTGCTCTGGGGACAGCCAGGCATTGCTCAGGCCCTCCGGGTGAATCCGCTACGGCACCAAACCACATTTCCCCACCCCAGGCTGTTTCAAGTGAGCATAGCGACATAAGACAGGGTCAGAGCGCACTGACAGGACGTGATGGCAGGGCTGGGCGATCTACGCGTGCATTTGCCCGTGTAATGCTGCATTTCTGAGAAACGGCTTAGCCCCGGCTTCACAGCTGCACGACAGTGCCAGCCTACAAACGCCGCAGCTTGTTTCCCCCGGATCCCTCCCAGCAGCCACAACAAGGACAAGCCCTCTGGCTTGCTCTAAGCGGCGTGCTGTCCTGCTGCCGCCGGCTAATCATCGAAGCAGTTTCATTGCCACGTCCGGCTAGCAGGTGAGGGTCCACGTCCAGCCCTACCCTGGCAGTCTCACCTTTCTCGCAGTGAGCCCCAGAGAAGCCCCTCTGGCAGGTACACTCATAGCTCTCCAGCCGGGGGCTGCAAGTGCCTCCGTTCTGGCAGGGATTGGGTTTTCGGGTGCAGGGGTGGCCTCGGAAGGGGGAGATCTCAATGGCGCTGCGGATGTTCTGCTCCTTCAGCACAGGCACCCCCTTGACAGAGATCTGGCAGATGCAAGCAAGAGGAAGCATGAGAGTCAGCCTTCACCACCCCTCCGGCGGGGGCA